TTGTTTTGTATTTTTTTACATTTGTAGCTACGAAATTGGCGTCCCCGATTTTAACGAAATTTGGGATGCCTTTTTCACTGTTTAGTGCTTTTATTATTAGCATGACAAAATTACTGGATGCTGATTGGTTGAGAGGAGTACAATTATTTCATTAATTGTACTGCAGTACAATTAATGATTTTCCCAAAACAAACAAAATGGCGGAAACGTATTTTAAACTCAAGCGTGAAATGAAATTGCCGTGGAGGAACTAGATGAAAATACGAACACAAGCACCAAATTTTGCTTTAACAAAAGAACTAAATAAAAATACAAACAAAAGTACTAAATTTTGGTTGAAAGTCTGGCAGGACTGGGCTTTGGCGAGAGAATATGATGCTGACGTTGAGAAGTACGTATCCAATTTTGTCATGCTAATAATAAACAAATAATTATGCGATGTTGCTCGTACAATTAGGGATTAATAGTACTCGTGATTACCTATACGAAATATTTGCTAAAATTGACTGGGAATACTTAGAGATTTCATTGTAGAATGGCGTAGTTATATTCACTTGTTCTTTGACTAAAATGTTTAGCTGTATTATTGCTAAACATGCCGTTTTTGAGAATTTGGTTTGCAACTAGGTTTCAACATCCAATCACGCATCAGTCCATTGAAAACATTAGGTCACGTTAGCTAGTTTTCTATCCATTTATTTTATTCTCCATAATAGGACTAAGAATAAAGATGGTATCTTCGACGCTACCCCTGTGGGACCTCGTACCCTCTTGTGGTTTTCTCAGCATCTTAACGTTATTTTCTGACTACGTGCCTTTTTGGCGAGCGAAGCGACTCTATACCCTTTAATATATTTAAACCCAACTCACGCAGTTGCTAAATTGTGGTTGAGATCTTTCAGGTACAACAACCAGATATAACACAATCAACGATACCAAAGATGAGATCGCAGTTGATGTGTTGGTTGTTGGTTCTGGACCACTTGGGTGCACATATGCACGGAAATTACATGAAAAGGGACGAGGCATCTTCATGGTCGACGCTGGGGCTCAGCTGTCAGAGATTCCGGGCTGGCATTTAAAGAACTCCTTCCTGTACCAGCGAAACGTCAATCAGTTCACTGGCGTGATAGAGGGCCACTTGCATACTCTGTCTGTACCACCAAACGACAGCGCTGTTCCAACCCTAGATCCCGGGGCCTTCACAGTGGACCAAGACCAATATAAGGGGTATAAGGCTGTTGTGGAATTTGCATTAAGATGTAAAATAAAATAAATTTTGTTAAAACCACATACTTTTTAACCGACCTGTTATTTTAAAACCACTATTTTGCTGTCTCATAGCATGCATAACCATTCAAAGAGTTAATTGTTGCATACTTGAGGAGTTTATATATACTTAATTTGTTGACAAGTTCCGTTGACCGAGACGTGATTTGAGGATGAAAGCAACCGAGTACACTTGCTATCATTCTCATTAGCAGAGGCAAGGGGTCCCCACTTGCCGGGAGCCCTTAGCTCTCGTCCTACCCTGCTTTATATGAGTGTTACGTCACTGTAAATCTATTTTAAAACACGGCAATCATGGAAATCAACTTGATAAGGTTTGCTCGCTTAAAGTACAGCTGATTTCGCAGTGGATTCTAAAATAAGTAATAAAAAAGACAAATATAAAAAACTAATGTATTAAGGTTAGTACGTAAATGCATTGATTATAGGTAGCAGTATTATTTAGGTATCTCGTCCATATGCAATGAAAAACAGCCATTTTATTTTATTTCATTATCTTTTTTAGCTATTGTACAATATTTCAAAATTTTTAGTCAAGGCTGATGGCTACCAGGTTAAAATGTCATTAAATACAAATGCAAATTCGGATGGAAATCTTTTCCCCTTAGATTTGTTTCTAACAATCAGAATCCTGAGCAAGATCCGTTTGTGAATCTACCAAAGGCTGCCGCTACGTATGCCGTGGGAGGCATGTCTACTCACTGGACAGCGTGTACGCCGCGAGAATATCCCACTCAACGCAGTAGCCTTATTGATCCCGATACATGGAATTCACTGTATAAAGAAGCTGAAAGACTCTTACACACGAACCAGAACATGTTTGATGACACAAAGATTGACTTTCCTGGGGGTGGCGCCCCTGGCGGGATCAAGCACTTCATCCGTAACAACCTGGTACGAGATACGCTGCGCAAAGTCTACCCAGATCTCAACAGCAAAGACGCCGAACCTCAATACTTACCACTTGCTGGAGTGCGACGTAAGGACGCTCCCGAGTATATAACTTGGAGCGGTGCTGATACTGTGCTTGGGGACGAAATGTTGAAGGAATTAAAATCGGAAAACACGTTTCAATTAAAGGTGATGTGCGTATGATCATTATTCTAGTGATTAGTTAACTATCCTTCAAAAACTCATTAATAATTCATGAAGCAATTATCCAATCTTGAGTAAGAAATTAGTCATGTGCATACGTCTTTATACCAGCTAAAGAACACTTTAACAAAAGACCATTGTTATGCAAACTATATGAAGGTTTTTATATAAAGATTTTTATATAAAGATTTTTATATAAAGATTTTTATATAAAGATTTGACTTATTATGCATACGTTTTTGAAGTCATTTAAAAAACTCGCGGGTCGTGTTTTATTAGGTCTAAAGCCACTCGCGCTGCGCGCTCGTGGCTTTAAACCTAATAAAACTCTCCCGCTCGTTTTTTAAATAGTACATCAAATTAAGCTTTTTGAGTTACATAGCCAGCCCACCATTGGCTATTAATTTTCCGACGAAAGGCATTCGCGTGAGAGGTCAAAGTTTTGCCAATATGTTTCAGGTCAGTAGTTGTACATCCTTCACACCACAGCTTAAGGGAAGATGGCTGTGAAACTCATTAGAGTAGCAATAGAACTCATTATCTATGTTGATCAACCTTTAATATTCATAAATTTGGTTCTTAACCGTCACGTGTGTATTGTTGATTATACCAAATCCACCAACAGCAATTTCCAATTTTCGAGTCACGGATAGATAACTTCCTATTTGGAAAACATTTGCTATTGGTTAGTTGGGCAAAAATACAATACACACGTGATGGTGAAGGACCAGATTTATGAATAAACGTTAACCAACATAGATAACGAATTATTGTTATTCTAACGAGTTTTACAGCCATCTTCCCTTCCATAGCTACAATTTTATACAACTAATTAACTTACTGTGACTGATAAATACACGTTCTCAAGTAAGTCCATTTCAATAATAAAATCTCAAACAAATTTCCAAATTCATTAGGAAATGTGGCAGTGCCGGGAACTCCATTACACTGGTACGGGACAAGGCACTCAAAAAGTTGAGTATGCCGTGGTGAGAAACCTTCTTGAGAAAAAAGACTACCGTGTAAAGGCTAACACATTTGTCATAGCAGCGGGTGCTGTCCTTACTCCACAAATCCTGTTCAACTCCGACATCAGCCTTCCCGCTTTGGGACACTATCTTTGTGAACAAC